GAGGGCCGCGTTGTTGGAGGTCAGGTGGGCCTCGAGAATGTGGCACGGATCTGGAGCAGCGTGCCGTGCGCCAGGTTGTGGTCGATGCCCGCTGGTGACACGCACACACACGCACGCACACGCACGCACACGCACACGCACACACACCATCACACACAGGATCAGTGGAGTCTCTACACCTCGATCGCCACCTTACATGCACAATAAAAAGAAATGATGAATAATAAAAATAAACAAAAGAAGGTGGTACCGGCGTGGTCGGGGATGGGAGGCGAAGAGGGAGGCGATGAAGGCGGCGACGTGCTCGGGAGGGACGAGAGGCACCAGCGCCCGGGCCGCCATCTCGCGCACCTTGAAGTTGGAGTTGGCGCTGCACTTGGCGCGACCAGTGGGATGAAGGCCTCGGGCGAAAGCTGAGGCCGGCTGCCCTCGCCGGGCTTCACCTTCTTGTTGGCCTTGTTGGTCTGAAGAGCGCCTTGAGCACGTTCAGCGCGTGGACCTGATGGGCCTGCTCGCCGATGACCGACTCCACGCCCTCCGATTTCGCCTGCACGACACACACCACCGCACACGACACACATGAGACACACACACACACGCCACGTCAGCAAGCGCTATGAAGGAGTCGGGCCGGAAATGGTGAGGTGGCGGTGGTGGTGCGCACGTCTTGGGTCTCGAGCTGTCGGGTGTCGCCGCCGGAGGCGATGCGGAGCAGGGCCTGCATGGCCTGGGCGATGAGGACCTTCACGCCGCCCCGCCGGCGGCCGAGAACGATCGTCTCGGCCCGCAGGATGGCGCAGAAGCAGTAGGGCAGACCCGCGCTGCGCCTCGTGATCGACTTGAAGTCGTCGTTCTCAATCACCTTCAACAAGTGCTGCACAACCACAACACAACGCCACACACAACGTAATGCTATTAGCGTGTGTGTGTGTGTGTGTGTGTGTGTGTGTGTGCGTGCGGTGGAGAAGAGGTACTTGAATCCAGGTGCCGGGGAGGGAGTAGAGCCCGGGGTGGGCGCAGGACAGGAGGTTCTCGGAGAGGGGCTGGAAGCCCCCAGGTACGACTTCTCCAGGGCGCCCCTGTGGCGCGAGGACAGCATGATGTGCATGCACAGGTCGCCGGCCTCCTTGATGCCCTTCTCGGCCATCACCCACCTGCACCACCACCACCACCTCGTGAGTGTTTTTCATTTTTTCGATCGAAAGACGACCAATTATGTGATGGGCAGCACGAGGTTGGTGGCCTTGAGGGTCTTGAAGTTGATGTCCTGGATCATGTGTAGCGGATGGCCAGCAGCGGGGTCGTGGATGGGCGTGCGCTGCGACGCGCCCACCAGGTGGTCCACCGACGCGCACGCGATGTGGCGCTCCAGCTGACTGATCGTTTCGCTGAAGAAGAACTGCGACGGCGCTGCGACTGCGATGTGTACACACGCCTGGCTCAGTGAGCGCCACCTTAAACCGCTCAATAATAATAATAATTGAAATGACACCAAATAATAAATAAATAAATAAATAATTCTGTGGCGTACATTCGTTCGTGAGGGTTGAAGGAGGGCGAGTGGGCCAGATGCGGCGTGGCGGACTCCTCGCCTCACCTGGATGTGTACCAGCCCAGGGGCAGCACATACTACTTGGTGAGGATGAGCCTGAACACCAGACAGCCCGGTAGAAAATGTCGATGTGTTGGACGTGTTGACCGCAAGCCAGGCTCACAAGCTGGTTGGCGATTGGCTCAACTTTTGGGCTGCAGGCTTTCTGCCTCGCCGCTGTGGCGCCTTCTTCTTGGGCGTCTCTGTTGACAGAGACGGCGCGATGGTCGCTTCCGTCTCCCGGGTCTGCACACGCGGCACGGCACGACACGGCACGACACGGCACGACACGCGCCACACGGTGAGTGACTGCAGCTAACCATTGGAAAGGAATGTGCGTGGTGGAATGTAAGGCGTACGCGGGGCGGCGAGTTCATCATCCAGAGCGCCCAGCGCATGAGCGAGGCCACCTTGGCCGGGTCGTCGGAGAAGCCGGGCAGGGGCGAGGGGAAGGCGGCGAGCACCGTGGAGGCGCTGTGGCGCAGCGGAGTCGATGTCGTCCCACAGGGTCAGCACCAGCGCCGCCGTACTCACGGGCGCGTAGGCATCCCACGACGACAGCTTGCCGTAGAGTCGCCCTCCTTGTCTGCTCATCACACGCACACACCGCACACACCGCACACCGCATAATCGCACGCGCGTCCGCTTCGCACGCATCTGCGTTGCACCGTCCGCCCGCGAGTGAGCACAGAGCCACATCATCAAGACAGCACTCGCGAAGACACGACCAACGACGCGACACACGACACACGACACACGTACGGCGTTCAGGGGGGGCTGAGCCGGTGGTGGTGGCTGGTGGCTGGTGGCTGGTGGCTGGTGGCTGGTGGCTGGTGGTGCTGGTGGCTGGTGGCTGGTGGCTGGTGGCTGGTGGCTGGTGGCTGGTGGCTGGTGGCTGGTGGTGGTGGTGGCTGGTGGTGGTGGTGGTGGTGGCTGGTGGTGGTGGACGCGATCGTCGAAGGAGTCGTGGTGGCGGCCATTGCCCGGCGCATTGGAGAAGCTGGTCCGTCGCAGGGTGGCGCCGGCCTGGGCCGCAGCCGTCGCCCCGGCGCTGCCGCCGCGCTATGATCCGTGCGGACCCGACGACGCGCCTCCGGTGGGTGGGATGTGGTGGCGACCAATGTGGGAGGTGGCGTCGACGACGAGCTGCAGTTGTTGTAAGCGGCCGAGACGGTGAAGCTGCCGCGCCCCATGTCACGTTGAGGACGTTGAGGGCGTTCTTATCGGTCGGCCAAGAGCGACGAGTTGGCGGCCGTCGATCTCCTTCTGCTGCATGCCCTCTTTCATCGCCGCGCCGCGGTGACCGCACCAATGTCCATCTGTGCACCGATGAAAACAGTTCAGCTCAGTTCAGTGGTTCGAGCGTCGCCGTCTGCGGTGTGGAGCGTTACC